GTTAATTTACGTAGTAAAAAAGTTAACTATCTTTTATTAGCATTTGTTAGCCGTACTAAGAGTTATCATTTTTATCTGTACGAAAATCCATGTTTTATAGAATATAATCGCACGAAGACTGATCATTTTTATCTGTACGAAAAATATTGTTTTAAAGCATTTGTAGTCGTGCGAAGACTGATCATTTTGATTTCACTAACCACACAAAAACCAAGGTAAACATATTTTTGATTCTTTATATCGCTCTGAGAATCTAATATACGATTTCAGTTTGGTTTGTTTGTTTGTTTTGAATTTCGCGCAAAGCTACACGTGGGCTATCTGCTCTAGCCGTCCCTAATTTAGCAGTGTAAGACTAGTAGGAAGGCAGCTACACATCACCACCCACCGCCAACTCTTGGACTACTCTTTTACCAACGAATAGTGGGATTGACCGTCACATTATAACGCCCCCACGGCTGAAAGGGCGAGCATGTTTGGTGGGACGGGGATTCGAACCCGCGACCCTCAGATTGTGATTCAGTTTGGTCTTGTTTTTCTAGTTTAATTGATAGGAAACTTCGATAAACCCCTTAATTAAAGGAACAAAATATAAATGTATAAAAGTGATTAAAATTGCTGAACTGAGAAAGAAAATTTCCAACCAAAAAGACCTTCCTTCATTTAGTGATGAATTTTGCGTTATTTCCACAAATGATTCATAACATTTTTTTTCTTTACCTTGTATTAAGTAGTCATGGGGTGCCCTGTATCTGGCACAGACGTGAGATCCATCTTGAAAGGTAACGTATTGGTTTTTTGGCCTCCCACAACGATTCCATGTAGGGGGCTCTATTTGCACAACTTGTAGGTGGCGCATTCGATAAATAAAAGCCCAAACTTCATCGTCCGTAACACCTAATTTGAAAAAGACAAGTTAATTGCGTTTCTGAGAAAGTTCTTTGATATCAAACTATTAATTTTCGCGTGAAAAAATACCAGAGCTATCAGAGCAGTAAAGATCATAACCCTAATAATTCTCTCTGGTTTATGACAATAAACAATGATAAATAATTGATAAACAATAAAAAATGATGAACAATAATAAACCGATTACGTTTTAATTAATTTGATATAGAATTGTAAAATTATCTTAAGTAACAAGTACTATTAATGATATTTCTATTTTAATGTAGTAAAATCACTTTTTATGTACTATAAATGTTTAAAATTTAAGTTTGTTTTTTGTTTCATAGCGAAGCCACGTTGGGATATCTGCTGTGTTACTTCGGTCTTATAATGCTAAAATACATTTGTAGAATCCTATATTAATTCAGCTTGTGGCTTTATATGTATGTCCAGCTCACTTCTTCCACAGTTCTTGAGTTAAAAATACTAAACTTGGTAGGCAGACTTGGAGTGACCCGAGGTTGTTCTTGTCTATATAGCATAGCCGTCCTACCAAGGGGGGTCTGAGGTCTAAAACGCGCCGTCAAGGTCACCCAGGTATAATGGGATCTAAGAGTAGGTTTTCAGGGTCTCTGAAACAGACTCTGATATCGGATTTTGTGTACCTGATCCTCACAGAATCTCGGGGACGCCATTTTCGAAACTGTGTTCATACAAACTAGAGGAAGCAAAGTTGCCACACATGTTCAGTTACGAAGACGCCCGTTTTTTGTTTTTGTTTTTCTTTCAAGTATGGACTCCCTTGTGGTAACTAAAGAAGTAATTGGGTATAATGGAGGAGACTGATCGGAACCTTGGGGCTTCTGTGACTCAGGAGAGGACCTTAGAACCCCGCAGCGGAGCAAGGGTATTTTATGCTAGTATCTTTAAAGAATAATTTTGTACATAAAAAGTAAACTTATTTAAAAGGCAATAGCTTTTGTACAAAACAGACAATCATCTTTTTATCGATTACTTTGTATACATTTTGCTTTAGTTTTTTAGTTTTTTTCTATCAAACAGTATGTCTTTGTAATTCGTTTTAAATGTTAGTATTGACATATGTACATTAGAATCTACATTTTGCGTCTTTTCATAAAGCTTTATTTAAAACACTATCATTGTAAAATCCCTATGACATTATAGTCTATATATTTAATTGAGTGTAAAATAAAAAAGAGAAAAAATTCGTGGTCCTGGAACTTTTTAGATCATTTGAAAAGTATACGTCCACCCATGTTAAAATGTTTTCTGTTTCTACAAGTGGAAAAAGCAAACAAATAAATACACATCGTCACTTTTGTTCTTGATTTAGTTGCATGCATGTAAAAGACACATACTATTCTGCTCTCCCGTGAATTTTTAATCTGGAATATTTACGATTTATAATAGCGTGTGTAGGAAAAAAAAAGACAGTACGCGAAATTCGTTAAGGATTCGGTGAGTACGATAAGATAAACATCAAAAAGGAGAAGGATCAGTAAATTAAACTGCTATTTTAATCTTATAAATTTTTCGTAAAAAAAATACAATGTGTAACACTAATTTCCATTTAAAACTTTTACCGAAAAAAAATCTGCAAAAGAGTCCAGAACAAAAAGCTATACATCAATAAATGGAAAACTGTTTGAATAGCTTTGTACAATGATGCTGTGTTGTGTACTGAATTAACTTTGTAAGCGGTTACACAAAAAGCCTAAATTTCAGAAACAAGTTATAAATTACTTCACTCTTATACTAACGAAAATTACTATATTTTATCACACGTTTTAGCCTAAATATTTGGCAGTATAATTTAGATTTTACATTGGCTTATCTAATTTTGGGCAATGGTGAATATAAGCTTTGAAAAATATATTGTATTACTTTGCCTAGGCCAGTGAAAAATTAACAAGAGAAATAATATAAACCAACTATTTTTCAAGCGAATAACAATCGTGAAAGCTGTTTTGTAAAGCTTATTAAAATACGTAAATTACAATGTATTCGTCACAGTAAGACATGCGTCAGAAAGCATTTATTGTATCTGTTTCAGAAAAGTCAATCAAATTTTAAAGAACTTACGAGAACATCAACAAGTCTATTCAAAAGACTCTTCTTTGAAATGAAATATTTTTTAACGCATAAATAACACACCTTTGGAGACCAGTGAATCTACTTCTTCTGACCAGAATATATCATCTTCCACTACTGGAATCCCTTTCAAATTTTGAACACCAACAGATGTTCTGGACCGACGACTGGGAACATCAAAGGGAACCTGAAATTTTGGTATTTCCTTCTTCGTATGCGTATGATGCACAGACGCGGTAGCAACAGAAGATAGTTTCGAAGCAGAAGCAGCTTTGTACAGACTTACTTTTCCATCCTTTGTTGAAACTGAATTTATAGTGTTGCTACTAACACGTATTCCAAAAGGAATTAGGAGTTTGTTAATTGATTTAATCCAGCTTTTCTCTCCATTCAAAAGTTGCTTTCGAGACACTCCTTTATGTGAATCTGTATTGGTTTTTAATGTATTCATTTGCTGTTCTTTTTTTAAGTTAAATACTAACTGTGAAAATTCAGTAAGGTCTCTTTCCAATGTAAATGATTTTTTCACGCCGTCTTCTGCTGAGACAGTATTTACCTCTTGTTGATGACCTTGAATTACACGCGAGTTTTGTGTTCTTCCCTTCTCTTTATGAAGCCTTAAAGACGCTGTGTTTGCAGCTTCTAAAGCTGATTTTTCAGTTATTTCATACGCTGTCTCACCATATGCGGTATAATTATTGTTCATTATCTTAAAGTCTTTTTCTCCAATAGGACCGTGATTTGCTCTCGCAATGTATCGATTTCGATACAAAAGATAATACGGTAAGTTGGATATCTCGTATTTACTGTACGTTCGTTTTAACTTCCTGGGAAAATACGATTCTTTATTTACAACTTCCAGTTCCCGCTTACTGTACTCAAAAGGTTTTTGTTGGATTGTAATGAATGTACATACCATCAAGAAGGTCACAAACATAAATCCACTCACCGCTATCAAGCGATACATGCGTATCATGTACACTTTCATTCTGGAAGATTATCTGTTGTGAATAAAGGTCCACATTTTCAAACTCAAGAACAATGATTTATGAGTATAAGACTTTTCTGCCAAGATATTTTTTTTATTCTCGCTTTAAATCATTTCTGCCAATAGTAACTGTTGAAGTCAGTCCTCGGTTCCTACATCACGCCTTCCAAGAACAATGATTTATGAGTATAAGACCTGGAAGTGAAAAGAAGATTGACAATGAATGGTTAAGAAGAATCAAAAAATTAAAATTAGTAAGATTCTGAAACACTAATTTTGGAGCTTTTCTACTCGTTTGTTACACACGCTTTACTCTCTGGTAAATATACTATGGATTGTATGTAGGACCTTATATATTTAACTTATATACGCATAGAATAACTGGAAATTATATTACGAAGGTTGTAGGATTATCAAACGCATAATTATTAGAAAACAAGCTAGAAGAGGGTTTTTACAGATGTCCAAGTTTGGGCTTAGCAAGTTATAGTTCTGTGGAACATAAACTGAGCCCCTCATGATTAGCAAGAAATAATTATGCAGAACATAAACTAAAGCCCATCATGATTAGCAAGTTATAATTATGTAGAACATAAACTAAGCCCATCATGATTAGCAAGTTATAATTACGTAGAACATAAACTGAGCCCCTCATGATTAGTAAGTTATAATTATGTAGAACATAAACTGAGCCCCTCATGATTAGCAAGTTATGATTATGTAGAACATAAACTGAGCCCTCATGAAATTACTTAAACTTTTGAATTCATGACACATATTTTATGGCTTGTTAGATAAGGTTGAATCGACCATATTGATGATAACAGCTCTTTATAATCGTGTTTGACGAAGTGTTTATTACAAGTAAAAAATGTACAGTTTCATTAACAACCTTCAACCCGTCCATGAAATTTCACAGTAACTATATTAATTCAAATCTTACAACTGAGGGCAAAAACCAAGCCATAAAAGTCTATTGCGTATAATCTTTAATTGAAAATGAATGAAGGATTGTTTCCCCCACATCTCACAACAACTACATTGACATCATTCTTCCCCTATACAACTACTTCAAACATCGTCCTCATCAAGTCGTACCTGAGTATTGATATGACACGGTATTTTGTTTGTATAGTGTACGAAACTATTTGCTCACAGATTTAACATTCCTTGCATATTTATATTTGCTATTGTTATTATAGACTAAACTATAGGTTGACGTTGAAGCATAAGCTCGGCTACAGCTTGGACTTAACTATATTGTGGCCACCTAGGAGCTGTAACTCCGAATATTAACATTATAATCGATCCATCTTACCACTTAGCCACTAGGGGGCTCACCATACATTCTAAAAGACATATCACCTAATGCTATTTGGTGAGTCTCTTAGAGGAATTTTGCTATAGTGGTAGACCACATACGTTGGATACATCTCGTTGGGAACGAAATTAGATATTACGTCATTGAGTCACCAGAGTGCTCACTAGATATTTCAAAACACACATCCTCTGATGCTATTCGGTGATTTTGTTAGATGGATTCTGCTATAATGATAGACCACTTAACTTAGATTCATCTAGCCAATCACGATATGAGATACTTCGTCTATTAAAAATGGGAAAAACCTAAAATAACCAAATTTATATTTTTATCATAAAAATTATTATTTCAGTATGTACACCAAAAGGATCCTCAATCCAAAACAAGAACGCTGTATTGTTTAGACGCATCTCTAGTTGTCACAACAATTGTAGACCACTACTATTCCAGCTGTATTTCAACAAACCACACTATTGTTTAAACGCACCTCTCATTGTCACACCAATTGTAGACCACTACTATTCCAGCTGTATTTCAACAAACCACACTATTGTTTAAACGCACCTCTCATTGTCACACCAATTGCAGACCATTACTATTCCAGCTGTATTTTAACAAACCACACTATTGTTTAAACGCACCTCTCATTGTCACACCAATTGTAGACCACTACTATTCCAGCTTGTAACTTTTTTATAACCACCTCTCGATGTGATTCTTATTCTAAACTAACTATCATCGTAGATGTAACTTTCTGAACCACACTGTTGTTTTAATTTGTTACTAGAGTTAAATGTATTTCTATACGATAAATTGTGTGGTTTGTGGAAATAGAGCTGGAATAGTAGTGGTCTACAATTGGTGTGGCAATGAGAGGTGCGTTTAAACAATAGTGTGGTTTGTTGAAATACAGCTATATAAAGGTAAAAGTGATAAAGTCGATTTTCATACCATCATCTCGGGAAAGGTCTTTCACGAATATGGACAATTTTATAAACCTATTAAAAAATGAAAGTTTTGCTTTTAACACGAAAATATAAAGTAGCGTAATTCGCATGCCAAGTGTCGTTATCTGTATGTTCATTACGGTTGGTTACTTACAGTAACAACGTTTCGTATTTCTTGGAGATGATAAGACATCAAACTTTGTGTTTGCCCAAGAAATTCTGAGACTGTCTGCACAGTGAAAGTAACATCGTATTATCAAATTAATGACCGCGGATGATAACCACAGTTGTTTTAATGTCACTAGCGGTCATAGCACTGTAGTTGGGGTTCTAATGTTGTCTTTCTTCTTCACATTTGTACGAATTTTTGTAAACAAAGAAAACTCCAATTCATAAGTTTTCGCTCTTTTGTTTTCAGCTTAATATTTATTTATTTATTCGAGTTTGATAATACTTATTCTACATTTTACTGGCATCGGTTGTTTATTTTATTTTTCTAAAATATTTTTCTTTGATTGCATAACACCATTCCTGCAACCACCGTGAAAGCATTAAATTAACTTATCTCCTGACACTGGTCTATTCGGGAGTTAGCGTTCTATTCTATTTTAAACGCGGAAGATAATTAAAACCATTAAATACATGAATTTATGCGCTACTTATAAATTCTTTATCGTCCATGAAAAAACTTTTTTGGTAAACCTATAACATTTACAATATTATTCAACTAACGCTTTGGATAAATTCTGCTTTAACCTTCTTTAATGATTTCATCAAAACAATTAACACGTGTAATCAAGAAAGTAAATTATTCTATTCTGGAAAAATACTCAATTTAATTATCTAAAGAACATACATTGTTGAAGTGCTATTAGTCTGTTATATATACGTGAGATTAATTTGCAATGAAATGAAATATGCCTTAAACGACAAGTGATTTATAAGAAAATAATCATACGGATCAACTTCAACTAGGAGATCAACATCTTCGTATGACATTACGACAAATAATACAGAACGGTTCTAAATACTAGTTTTATTGAAACAATTATAAACTGGATACTTTTTTAATTATTTATCAGTTTTGTATCTAGAAATTCGTAATGAAAATAGCATCGTTTTTTGTCATTTTCTTTTATTTTTGGCCTTATTTATCACCCTTAGTGGGATTTAGAGTGCAGTTCCATACTTTTCTTTTCCATCTACCAGATGTCATCATTTGATGACTAGTTGGTATGTGGAAAACATTGCTAGCGTCCCCCACTTTCAAAATAAACATGTTGGCGAAAGGAGACTTTAACTGGGGATATGGTCCAAAAAAACCTGTCATTCCGCTGGGCTTAAAACGGATTATACATTTGAAAAGTACTGACACAGAAAAATGGAAATCAAAGTCACTTATGGCATTAAAATCTCACTCCATTAAAAATATCAGGATGTTTGCTAATTTTGAACGCAAAATTTACTTTAAATATGATTAATCAATCGTATTTTATGTATTGCAAAATATATTGTTGAATTATTATATATATATATATATTCTTTTGACCATTAGCTGAAGAATATTATTTGTAGAATCATGTTTCGTCAAAACATATAACTATTCTGAATACGATAAATTTGGTAGTAATAATTTTAATCGCTTTATTATTATCACGTAATTTGTCATGTAAAACACTTAAGGATATTATCTGATAACAAGACATTGTATTATACCATATAATACTATAGTATTTCATACAAAGTCTGAAAATAATGATGTACAGCTGCTTGAAGTTAGAATAATTATAAATTATATAGTTTAGATTTAGCTTAGATAATTTAGAAAAGTAAAGCTGAAAATTTTTGTTTTGAGGACGACGTGTTGGAATGGCATTTTAAAATACTTTTGTAACGGTTTCTATCGTTGGATAAGTCCTTTTTTGATTATTAGGTAGAAATGATGCAAAGTTGAGTGAAAGAAAACGTTTTTCCAACTGAAATTTTTACAACTTACACGGTTTTACGATAAGTAAGTGATATGCCTATCTCACAAATAAAACTTAACAGCCACTAACTTGTGAAATTTCTTCTTATATATTCGGCAAAAACTCAAAACTGGCAAACTAACACGCTTGTTAACTCAGTAACCAAGTGACAACACTGTTAAAATTGTAATAACAAATTAAATGACTCAATGAATAATCAACAATCTGACTAACTCACTAATCAACAACTCTCTTGTGTTTGTATACTATTAAAACATTTCCCCCAAGTCTGTAGAAAGTTCGAAATGCTACGTGCAAATCTAAATTCTCGTGATGTTTCAAGGAGTTACACATCATGCGAAACTTCCTCTAGCAAACACAACAAAACGCCTAAGTTAAATTATTAAAACATAGTTTAAACACTGCCTGGATTGTGAAGTCCACTGAATAATGCTAATACAGAAATTAAATATATATATATATATACAAGCTTAAAATTCCGTAATTATCAATAAAATCTCCCTTTACAAGTATCAACCTTATGTCTTTATCATCTAACATTAAAATCATTGAACCAATAGTGAAATATACGAAACAAAAATTATACTATTAAGTTTGATCAACAAAGTAATATTTTATTATTTACTGTCATCGTATACCTTTGTTGTTGTTTTTCTATTACGTGGGTTGTGATAGGAAGATGTTCTTGTTCTTTATTGTCACTTGTGGAGTTCTCTCTGGGTATATGGAACTGGTCTCTAAAACAACCTCAGGGTTTCCAGCGGCTTGAATTATTTATGGTGAAATTTTTGGTAAAGCTAAGCATTTGGCAGTTCTCTTCACGTCTTTCCAAAGACTATAACAACAAATGACTTGAACCACCTACTACTCTTCACAACAAATGACTCGAACCACCTACTATTCTTCACAACAAATGACTCGAACAACCTACTACTCTTC